GAATTTCTTATATATCTCACCAAGGGCAAGCTTTTATATAAAGGAATATATAAATATCTTCATGGCTGCATTAATACTGTGCAGCATGAACATCATTAATGGAAATTTTTGTACTTATGGATCACATGAGATTTCAACTCTCTGTAATTTAAATAAAATGCAAATGGAGCCTGGATATGAAATTAGAGGTTATGTACTAAGAAAAAAAAAGACTAAAAATGTCCTAAAAAGTACCAATCGGTAGTTAAAAGGAAGAGAGGGAGGAAGGCAGGAAGGGAGCAGGCAAACACGCAGCCAAAACAATCTGCAACAAAGCCCTGCTCGTTCCCACACAGAAAGACAAAGGGAAATCCTATTTAAGGATTCCATGACATTCAAAGGAGTATATAAAATAATAGTCACAGCATAAGAAAACACTCTGGCAGGCTAACTGGTCAAGCTAAAGTCTCAAAAGGCACGGGGTCTTTAGACGTGGATGGTAAGTATGGTGAATCCATAGGCTACGTGGGAGGAGAAGAAACATACAAACAAAAGGATACCAATTACGATGCATGATAAAAACTTGTTAAAAAAAAAATTCATACCCAAGATTCCCAAAGTGATCAGATCTACCTATCGAACAGGACGACAGTGTTACCTGAAGCCAATACAGCCTGGCCCTTAAACTTCTTTGGTGAGGAGACTGCTTAAATTCCACCTGAATTCCTGATAAAAAATCTCTTTTTATAGGGCACCGAGCAGGGAGGCGCATTTCCATTGGGTCTTTACCAAAATTCACCTGAGGAAAAAGCGTATGTATCCATGATGAACTGGTTATGGCAATGGAGCCCATTTAAAATATCCATTAACTCACAAACTGAAAGGAAGAATGTCTTAATCTCTGGGTCTCACCAGAAGATCTAACTTAAAATGATCTACAGTTGAGATATCTGAAGCAGAATCATCACTTTTCTACCAAAGTTATGAGGAAAACAAGAAAACAACTGAAGAACATTTCAATAACATAAACTATTCTTAAAGAAGGTAAGTCATGCTTTATATTTTTTAAAAAACTTCAGTAATAATGGGTAATTCTAGATAATCCTCAAACTTTGTTTTAACACGCTAAACAACGAATAGTTAATAGCTTATTTATGTCTGACACTAATTGTATAGTGTTTTCTTTTTTTTTTTTCATTTGCACACAACCAACATTTATAAGGATGAGGGTGGCGGTGGGGAGCATATCTGGTGACAATGCAAACTCAACCATCAGACAGCAAAGACGAGAAACCCAAACTGTATGACTGAACCTGCGGTCAAGCTTCTGCGGTTTTCTTGGAGGAAAAATGACTCCCAGTTTCAGCAGTGTAGGAATCTGTGTAGACTACCCCTTTATTTGTGGACACTTCCTCAGGTCCAACAATCATTCACATTTAATGAATTTAATCAAGCAGGTTTTCTTTAGAGTTTTCATCACTGAGATAAACAGTATTGCACAGCCCTCATTTAGCAATATATTTTGGTATCATTCAAAATATAAGAGGAGGAAAAGTTTCAATAAGCAATCTGAATTTCTCCATAATCTTCCTAAAAACAAATTCCATGAAACTATCTGCTTTGTAAATAGAGGAACTTCTAAAAACACTGATGAGAAACATATTTAATTAATGTTTCATAATATATAATTTAACAACAATATACCTTAATTAAAAATGTACTAATCAACTTTATTAGTCATGCCAATTCTACTAATAAATTAGTTTCTACATATACATTTTTACTTGGATAGTAAAATTTTACTTACTACCACTAGCAACAACAAAATACACATATAAGAAACAAAACAAAAGAATTTTGGTATACCTCAAAATTATCATCTAGTTTAATCCAGCCATGGTCTCTTGATTCTTGGTATTTCTGATAGGACTTTTCCAATAAAATTATCTGCTTTTGACTAAAAGGCTTCCATTTCCG